TTTTTTTTTTTTGTGGGGGGGGGGGGGGGGGGGGGGGGGGGGGGGGGAGAAAAAGAGAGAGAGAGAAAGAAACATTGATGTGAGAGACACATCGATCAGTCGCCTCCTGCATGTCCCCCGACTGGGGCCGGGGATCGAGCCTGCAATGGAGATACGTGCCCTTGGCCAGAATCGAACCCGAGACTCTTCAGGCCACTGGCCGATGCTCTAACCACTGGGCAAAACTGGCTAGGGCAACTTTATCCATTTTTGCCTTGGATCGTGGCCCAGCTGACTTCTGTCTCATGTTCTAGTCGGATGCAGTGAACAGAGGATCTGGAACTGGAAGACTTGATTGTCAGCTTAGGCTCTTGCGTTAACCAACTGGGTGACTTTAATTAAGAGTTTCATTCTCTCTGAGCTTCAGTTTCTGCATTCATCCTGAGAGCCATTCAGAATCACTGGTTGCACACCCAGGAAACCAGCCCTGGCCTCAGACTTGTTTTATCAAACTTTTCTCAAATTAATTCCTGTCTTCTCAGTGTTCTCAAAACACTTTTTACTTTTAACTGTAGCCCTTATTTTGCCTTAAGGGTATACATTTCTCTCTGGCCCTGAGGATGGTTTCTTCAGGCAGGGCACCTTGTCTCAGTCATCTGATATCCTTTACAGACCCAGATTTTTATATTTTAAGTGTTCAATTAAGAATGAAATTGAATTTAAATACAAGCAAAGGAAATTAGACTTTAGTTTTACTATTTTGCTCTGGATTTTAAGAGGGAATATTTTTGAATCAATTAATTTTTACCCTGAGTTCTTTAATAAAATGAAATATGATGACTGACTACATAAATAAATGGAGAAGAGACAAAACACCCATGGAGATGAATTCCAAATAATTTAAGTAGATACTCTGTGCTCAGAGACCGAGAGCATAACTCCCCTCTTCCTGAGTGTGGGTGGCACAGAGTGACTTTCTTCCAAAGAAAACATTATGAAAAGGAGAGAATGGAGTAACTTTCCAGTGGAGAACACAACAAACAGTAGCTCAGCCAGTGATCAAGGTCAACATCAATAGTGTTAAGTCATGTCAATAGTACATCCCCTTGATGATGTGATAAGAATGGCACCTTACCTCTGTGGTCTTCCTGCCCCAAGCCCATAACCTCAGTCTAACCATGAGAAAAACATCTGACAAATTCCAATTAAGGGATATTATACCAAATACCTGACCCATACTCCTTAAAACTATCAAGGTCATCAAAAACAAGGAATATCTGAGAAATTGTCAGGAAACCAGCCAAGAGGAGCCTTAAGGGACATAATCACTAAATGTAATATGGTGATCTGAATGGGAACATAGAACAGAAAAAAAGATATTATATATAAACTAAGGAAATTTGAATGCAGTAATTTCTTTAGTTCCTGATAATGCATTAATATTGGTTCATTAATGTTTCACCATCAATATAAGATGTTAATAATAGGGGAAACTGGGTGCAGAGTATATTGGAATTTTCCGTAGTATCTTCTCAATACTTCTGTCAATATAAAATTGATCTAAAAATAGTTTATTAAAAAATTAAATTTGGCTATCCAAAAAGGGGAGTTGGGGTGTGTGGAAATGCCCGCTTTCAAGCAATGATTGGAGAAGACGGGCAGGGCACTTTTTGAATGACAACCGTTTATTAGAAGTAATATATCTGTAAAGTGCTCTTTTGTAACAATTTAGCTTTTGTATTACTCAGTTAATCAGCATTTTCCCCTTGAGAGGTCAGGCCTTAGAGTTAATAAATTAAATAATAGTAAATTAATAGGATGTTTTCAACTTAATATATAAACCACAAGTAACTAAATTACCTGGACTGGATGAAATGTACCCAAGGGGTGTGTGTGTGTGTGTGTACTCTGGGTAAACTTTTAAAAATAAAATGTATTGGGGGGACATCGGTTACCAACATTACATAAGTTCCAAGTACACAATTTCATCATACATCATCTGTATATTGCATCGTGCACTCACCATCTGGATGAACTTTTTGAAGCATCCAAAGTCTCAGTTGCCCTGGTCAGTAAGTGGTGTCATTATGTACCCATTGCAGAGGAGGAAAGAGGCTGCTGTACTGGGAGATTGGTGAGCGGGTCGGGGTTAGTATGCATGGCCCCCCCGCCCCCAGACCTGTTTCAGAAGCTGCCCTAAACATTGCATAGGTCAGCATGCTGGCTTCCCCGCTCACCAGCCTGGCAAGACGCAGTAAAGTTACAACTATTCAAAGTGCCAAGGCAAGGAGGAAAGCCTCGTTCTGCTATCTGCGGAACCGCGAGCCAGGCGGCGAGGCAGGCAGGGGTGATGCTTGGTTTCAGACCCACCCCGCTTGGTGAAGAAGGGACCCCTCGGCTTTATGAACGAGGCGCCCGGCAGCCTGCGCGGTGCCCAGGCCACTGCCCCGTGGCCGACGGGGTTGAACTGTCTGGGCCACGGGTTCCAAAGCCCAGGAGCCCTCTCCCAGCCCACGCCCCTGCCGAATATGGCTCTCCCTGCACATCGGAAGCACTTCTGGAGTTTTTCAAACGTGCAAATGTTCTGGCCCCATCCTCCCATCCACTGGGTGAGGAGGATCTGTTACCAGATATTCTTTCTTTCTTTCTTTTTTCCAAATTGAAAAATGTGTCGAAATACAAAAAAAAATGACGGCCCAGAATCCCACCGTCCACAATAAACCCGTCAGCGCTTTGACACATCCACTCTCATTTTTCCATGTATGATTATGATTTCCAGAGTTAGAAGTTAACATGTTCTTCCTTAACAAATATAGAATATTCAAGGTACAGCTATAGTCCTCTCCGATGTCCCCTCAATCCTGTCATCTGGCAAACTTCCTGGCCAAGGCAACATCACTCTGTTTAGTACACCTCCTCCCAGTCCTTTCCAAAGCTATTGGATATTGGCAGGTGCCGTGCTAGGCGCATTGCTCTGCAGCGTCTTTGAGCCAGTTCAGTAGAGTGGTCAAGAGCCCGGGCTTTGAGAGAGATGCTTGATTTCTCTGTGCTTTAGTTCCTTATCTGTAAAATGGGAATAGTAATAGTGTCTGCTTCCAAGGGTAGTTCTGAGGATTAAATGACTTAATGCATGTAAAATCCTCAGAGTAGTTGCATATCAAGTGTTCAGTAAGAATTGCTACATTTTTTTCCCCCTGAAGGCTATGTTTTTGAGATATATACTTGTTGATGGAAATTGATCAAGTTCATGACCTTTCAGTTCTGAAGAGCAGCTCTTAAAATGTGTACTCCACGTGGTGGAAGCTTTCTTAGCCCCTCTGCACCAGGAGCACGTATGAAGTGTCCTAGCTCCTCAGAGAAAAATCGAGGTCTGCAGGTGAGGGCAGGCTTCTCCCAGCATGGCTCGGGTTCGTTCCCTTCCTGAGATCCCATCTTTTCCGTACATGATTAGCACCAAGTCACCAGCCCATTAAGAGATGGTGTTGCTTGCCAATGGGCCTGTGGCTTTGTGCACCTCAGCTCGTAACAATATCCGAATGCAACTCAAAGGGTTTGATGTTCATAACAGAAATAGTGTTGCTGTGCTTGCATGTGTTGGGTGGATGATGGGGCGAAGACGCAGATGTTTTAGTGAATTGGGGCCAAAAGATTAGGCATATACCAAAACCTGTGCCTGCTAACCTGCAAACTCCCCACTGTCCTCAGTAATTTCTCCTGCCAATTCTTTATGCAGTTATTTAAACATTTTCCGAAGCTCTCTAGTTTTTAGCCTCTACTACTTCATGTTTCATGCCTTCTTAAAAAAAAACACCAAAAGTCTCCTGTGAGTTTTTACAGCAAGTGGTTAATGGGCTATGAAATTGGAAGCGGGCTCCTTGGGGAAGTTGCGCAGAAGCCATCCCTCCCTCCACCGGCCCCTGCTAATCACCTTACTGTGAGCTCTCCAGGGAAGGGACCCGCAGTCAGCAGATGCACAGAGCTCTAAGCGACAGCATGCTCCATTAGCATCACCTAACCAATGGAGACAGGGGCTCCCACGAAGCAAGCTGCCCAAGGCTAGACACTTGGAGCTAAAAATTGCTTCAGACTTCACCCTCCTTTTTCTCAGTAGGCTGGCCTTTTGGAAACATGGAAAAGGCACAATCTATGCTTGTCACACTCACTTCCTGCACTCTAGCTACCTCTGCCCAGATGACCCACACCTTCCCCTCATCAGATATTCAGGGGGCTCATACTCTCTCATGTATGCATTCAGCTTATATTTTTTGAGGATCTACTGTTTTCAGACCCTATATCGGTGCTGGGGAGACTGGGATGAGCCAGGCAGACATTCTCTATCCCCACAGACCTTAGAAGAGCTCAGGGTTCCATGAGCTTCCTTAACCCAGACTTGAGACAGAGTTGGGCAGGGGAGATTTCTTGCAGGCATAATGTTTAAGCTGAAACCTGAAGGGATGGGCCAGGAGAGAGGCAGGGGGAAGTAAATTCCAGAACAAAGAAACTTGAAGTAAGAGAACAAACAAGTGATCGGGTCATGAAATCCTCAAATCCTTGACCGTCTGCCCACCTAGTGTTCCTGGGGACAGAGGCTGGGTTACAGAGGGGGCATGCAGGCAGGTAGGTGTTGATTGCTCTAAAGTTTGGACTTTGAGGCCTGCCCCTGACCCCTGGGCCTGGTGAGCAGGACAGGATCAAGGGTAAATCACGAGGGTTGCTTTTGCCCC